AGCTTAGGCTTTGTTTTGCTCCTTACCTTCATCCCTCAGTTATCCACCCTTGATTTGGTGTAACTACTAGCCTAAAACTAAAATTATAAGGTCTCAGAGAAAGTAATTAGGATCAGTGTTATCAACATAAACCCAAGTAAGAAAGTAAATGTCAAGTCAACATCTAAGCAATTGTCCTTCCAGATGCTTCCAGTTTCACACAGTGAATGCCTCTGAGCCCACTCCAGGAACAACTCACGTTGCCTAAAGGATACGCATCCCAGAGCCCAGCCCTGTCGGACAGGGAAGGTGCAGCCAGCCTGGACCCTCACTGGGAGTCCTCGCTTTCTCCTACTAGTGAAATGTTCCAAAGAGCTAGCTCTACTCTAATTTAATTTGACCCTATGAGGCAATGCTGTTGTTGCCCACAGCAGAAATGAATACCAGCAAAACTCCCTTCATGTCCTCCTCTCCCTGATACCTCAGGGTCCAATGCTGTCACTCTCCCATGATAGAAACCAAGGCTCTGAAAGATCAACTAGAGCAGATTAAGAACTCTGGTGGTTCAACGTTCTGAACCACTTGAACGTTGGTTCAAGTGCAGTCTTGCCCCGTTGGTGTCCTGATTGAGGAAGTCTACATTTAGCCAAGTCCTAAGTAATTATTGAGGAAGAAAACATTATATTAGAACCAAAGTTTTCATCTGATCCCAAAGGCTCTAAATAGTGAACAAATGTATAAAACATAAAATAAATAAAACTGATTTACAAAGGAGGATGCCATACACTGATACCCAGGAGAAGAAAACTTCTGCCACACACAGTGGATTCTCGTGCGAGGAGAAACAGTGCACCTGCCGTCCTACTTGGCTTTCTACATCCCACTGGTCTTTCTTATAATCACATAATCTTGCTTTGCAGGACAAAACAAAAATGGAAATACTACGTTCTTATCACCAACCTGTAAAGAATAATAAATCTTTTTTTTTTTTTTTTTAACCAAGTTGTCTAGCCTAAGGACTTTAATCCTTCCTGCTGGCTCCTTTTACCTCATTCCAAAATCTTCCTGTAAGGAAGTTTGGCAGAACCATTCTGGTGTATAAGTGGAGAAACTGAAGCCTACCATCAACATCGTAGAAGTAACGGTAGTTGTCCAGGCCTTCTTACCAGTGAAATCATGCCCCATCATTTATTTTGGGTGGCTCAAGGAGGTACACACAGGCCAGTTCTTCACTGGATCTAGGTTCACCTACACTACATCTGTGTAATTTTTATTCAAAGACATCTAAAACTCTAACATGGGTATCTTCATAGTGATGGCAGGTGTCATGTAGGTGGTTTTGTGCTCAGAAGCAAAACCAATATATGTTTTGGTGATCATGGATTTATATTCCTTTTCTGAAATAGCAGAGGGATTCCTGAAAATTATATAGCCAAAGGGATACGACCCAACAAGTGTAAGAGATAACATATAATGACCTGTGGCGTAGGAGGCAAAAGAGCCGCTCGCACTGCACACACACACACACCCACACACTCACACACGTGTGGAGAGACTTTGAACCTGAAATGAATGTTGAGGGAAGCAGAATGTAGTCTAAAGAGAGAACGCTTCAGAGTCAGATCTGGGTTTCCACTCCGCCTCCCACCCAAGCTGGATACCTCAAGTTAATTTCTATAAAATAGAAATAACCACACTCACACCATAGGACTATCAAGACAAGTAAATAGGATGGCATATTCAATAATCATTGTTGCAGGGCCTGGCGCACGGAAGACAATAAACATCAGCTACCCTCTCCTCCCCCTCCCCTGTGTATTTCTGAGAGACTTTTTTTTTTTTTTACTAATTTAAATGGGAATTCTTACAGCAGTTAAAAAAAAAAAAAAAGTTCCTACACATTATATAGTCGTTGGCACATACGTATCCTGTTGCAGCACCATAATTTGCAAAGAAAAAGGAAGTAGTAATTTTAAGAGAAAAGTACCAGCTCACTTGCACTGCCTTCTAAAACCTTTAGCTTTACAGTCTACAGAGACTATTTGCTCTAGGGGAGCAGATTCTAACATAAAGGAAAATTCCTCATGGGAAAATGGTTCCCCCCAAAAAAAGCCAAGAAAGAAAAGATAATGAGGGGAAATCTAGGGGTATATAAAGGAGTTTATTTTACTTAACAAAGTAAAAGTCAAGCAAAATGAATAATCTGCCTCCAGAAATGGTTATTTAAAGGCTTTTTGTAAAGGGCTCCAGTTCCTAAAAAGACAGGAGTCACTGCATATGCCCACCCACTCCTCATTTATTTTTAAAATCTAGCTTATATGTTCCTTAGCAACAGAAGGAGCAGATGAGACCCCCTACACACACGCACACGCACACCCTCTCCCCAAGCCCCCTTCTTCTTTCCTGTCAAGTGTCATTCTGCAAATACCCATGTTCTTCAAAAGATATTTTTTACCTCCCGCACCTCTCCTCTTTCCCCACCTCAAATGACCCCCCTTACACAAGCAGCCATACTACATTCGCCTGGCGAACCCCTTCACTCAGGCTCCATCCTGTGAGGTATTGCCAACCTCCCTCCGTGAACTCCCACCAGGCACTGTCCTCGGGTGCCCCCCGGGAGTGACACGGTGGGTCCTCCCTGCGGAGCCCATGCCCCACTCCAGCCAGAGTTGTACTTTCCTCACAGACCACTTCTTAACCCACTAGCAAAATGATCAAGGCCCAGCTCCATCTGAATCCGGCAGGAATGGCGGCCATGGCGAGTGGGGTGGCCATTCACCATAACTCGAAACAAAATAATAAGAGTAATAAAAATGGAGACACTCTGCCGGTTACCCAGGACAAACATGGGCCAGATGAATTCACCTGTCTTTCCACTCTCTTTCCTCTGGCGTTGTGACAGCCTGGCCTTGTTTGGCTGGGCACTACTCGAGAGCCCAAAGATCAATCGTTTAGCCTTTGGGGGAAAACAGGGCAGCAGTCCTCAGAAAGCAATGTACTTAAGCAGTGCCTGAGGAGGATGTTAAAAATTCCCACGCACAGACTGATTTTGTGAGCCTGGGGTGGCAGGCATTTTTAACGACCCACCTAAGGTGACTGATGCAGGTGGTTCCCTGAATTAGAGATGGTAAAGGGGAATGTTCACAAAGTGGGATCCGCCTCTATGGATTGGAAGGCAAATGCAGTATTGTTGTTTTTATTTTATTAAAAAAATGCTCTGTCCTACGTTTGTGGGTGCATGCACTTACACATGCACGTGTGAGCGTGCAATCCAAGAAGCCATGTCCCACTCACACAGTACCCAGGTCCAAGAGAGAGGCTCAGAGGATGACCCCTGCCAGGAGGCAAGCTGAAATGATTTCCCTTGCAAACGGGGGCTTTGCAGCCCTACCTGGAACAGGGAGGAGTCTGATGAATACCATGAACTCAGGAGAATTTCTCAGCACAGGAGCCCAGACCCACAATGGGCTTAATGTAATCAAGCCCTTCCAACTCAGGGTTCCTAAATTAGGCTGAATGTAGTCTCTGATTCCCTAAGGGCCAGTCAGGCCATCATTACTAGGAAGTAGAACTGCCTGTGTCCTAGCATACCTCCCTAGAGCTACCCTACTCTCCAGCACCTATCTATTTTTAGAAACCAAAAAATATAAAGAGAAAGATTCATTTGATCCTCATCTATGTGAGTAACTAAAAGAGCAAGTTAAGTGGGAAACTCCCGCAACGCACAGCAAACAAAATGCACGCGAGGGATGCGGGAGCAACAGCCTCACCAGCAAGACCTCTTCCGAGTCATCGGAAGCCAACCAACACTTAGACACAGAGCCCATGCCCCAGTGTCTGGGGCCTCCTGTCCAGACAATGCCTACGGGGATCCCAGTGATTCACATACATGCCCCCATAAACACACACACACACCCTCACAAGCCCACACACCTCTGTCATCTGCTTTTGCTTACATAACAGCACATGGTGTGGCAGGCTTAATACTTTATATGGGTTTCTGGAAAGGACTGCAGGCTCAAGGGAGTAGGGTCACAATAATGTCTTGACTGACCCCTTTTCCAGAAATGCTCAGAGCTCTAGCAAGTGCAAATTTTTGTAATTCTCTGCTTATGTAGGATCTGGACTTTAAAACTAACAAAGCAGTAAGGGTAGTCTCTGAAACTCTCCAAATCTCTCAAAGTCGTTATTCTTGCCTAGGGCTGGGGGTGGCGAGGCACAGCACGAGAACCTACCAAATCCTCATTTCTCATTTTTAGATCCTGAGCGATGTGGGGTAATCTTTTATCATAATTTGGTGGCCATTTATCCTACACTGTCCTTGTCTCACAAATGCATCCATCCTCAGGGGCAAGCGTGGTCCCATGCTCGCGCTCACCCCTGGCTTGCCAGTGGGTCCCCACCCCCTCCCGCTGGGCACACCCCGGGGAGGGGGAGAGAGCACGTGTGCAGGTAACCCCCTAACCAGCTGGGTATCTACAGACTTAGATCCACAGCGACCCTTCCTTCATGGGAGATTTCGGGGCAGGGCCGACTTCCCTAAGGATTTCTCTTCAGTACAGCGCTGTTCTCTCCTGCCTGGAGGGCGATCTCAACTATCAAGTTAGTGCCAAAGGTTCATCCAAGGAAATCTAGAAGGTAGGGGGAGTGGTTACAGATGACACCGGCGTAGGGACAACTTTGAAGACTTCTCTCAAGAAAACTAGGCATCTCCACCTGTGTCGGCAGCCCCCTCCGGCGCACACACGCATTTGTTGTTGTTCTGACCTCAGGGACCCAGTCTTCGGTCCTGTTCCACAGGGAAGCCGCGCACACCTAGCTTCCCTCCAGCCCAGAACGCCGGGCTGAGAAGAAAATACATCTCCCCACAAGGGGGAGAGAGGAAGAGAGAGAAGGAGAGCGCGCGCGAGAGAGCGCGCCAGGTGCCCCCAACTCCGGGGAAGCCCCTCTGTGAGGGACACGAGCGGGTCTCAGCCCCGCGGCGGCACCTGTGTCCCCGCCGCCCCGGCTCCCGCGCCTACCTGTAAGAGACCTGCTTCCGGAAAGTTAAGTTCCTCAGCTTCTCCTCCAGCGCCTCGTCCTTCTCCTTCGGGCCGGCGGCCGCGGGCTCTTCCAGGGCAGCGGCCCCCACCGCCGCCGCTGCCCCCGCGCCCCGCGGCTCCGCGCCGCCCTCGGCGCCCAGGCAGCAGCTCCCGGCGCCGCTTCCGCCGCCGCTGCTGCCGCCCGTCGCCCCCTTCTCCTCTCCCGCCGAGGAGCTGGGGTTCATGGCGACCGCTCCGGCGGCCGCGGAGGGAGCCGAGGCGGCGGCGCTGCAGAGGCCGGGCCGGCTGACGGCGCGGGCGGCGGCCGCCGCTGCGGGAGAGCGAGCAGGTCCGCGCGCCGCTGGCAGGGGCAGCAAATGGCAGCCCCTTCCCGCAGCATCCATCCGCGGCTGCACCGCACCGGGGCATTGTGGGAAACTCCGTGCCTCCACTCCCCCTCCCCGACCAATCAGAGGCCACCTCCCTCCGCCCCCCTCTGCCAACCCGCGCCCTCCAGCCCCCCTAGCCTTTTCCTAAATCGGGGGCACGAGTCAGAGCTGAACCTGAACTGTGCCCTGAGGCGTCGGGCTGCAGGAGGGGAGGACAGAGGGAGGGGACGAGGAGCCGCCCGGGCGTGGGGCGCTGGGCACGAACCCAGACATCGGGAGAGGAGAGCCCCGGGAGGGAAACTCGGAGGGAAGCGTGCCGCGCCCTGGTTAATACACGAGAAGGCTGGGACCGGGACGGGCGAGGTGCCCTGCCCAGGCAGTCAGCCCTTGAGCGGCAGCACCCACCTTGGTCCCAGTGCCCTGACGCCTGATGCCCGATGCCCGATGCCCGGGGCGGCATTCTCGCCACCACCGCTCGCTGCTTGTGCGGAGCTGGAGCCAGGCAGAAGCCGCCCTAAGCGGGAAACCTTTGGGGGCTGTAGGAGCGTGCTCGGTGTGAACCCGGGAGAGAATTCCTGAGCAGGGTAAAGTAAGCGGTGAGAGGGAGGTCAAGTTTAAGATACAGAGGAAGCGCCTCCCTCCTTTCTCTCTGGGCAAGGGCTGGGACCTCTTCATCCCTGCATCCCCCAGTCAGCCCAGAGCCTTCCTTACACGTAGCAGGCTCTTCCTAAACAGCTGTTTATTCGATTGAATGGGATCTCAGGGGCCCCAGGGAAACGAAAGGGCTGGGAGAATCCAGGAGGCAAACGTGAGGATGGGAGCGCGGGGGGCTTGTGCCTGGTCGGGCCAGGAGAGGAGGAGCTCACCCAGGGAGGGGCTTTGGAACACGTCAGCCCCCACTGCTAAAAACAACCGAGTTTGCAGTCTCTATAGATTTAGTCATCCAGCTTTATGGGGTTTGAATGATGCGCTCAAAGTGTGTAAGCCTGACTGTTTTCCAAATTAGGAGTTTCCACCCAAGAAATTGCTGCTGTCAACAAATAGGGAAAAGATCCATTCTTAAGGCTAAGTGTAGTAACCAAAATATATACCTACATGGACCTGTGATAAAAGAACCAGACCAGCGAGGAATTTCAGGTCGACGCTCTGCAACCGCAAACAGATTGTTTGATTTCTTCCCCTCTATTTTCTCATAACTAGAATTAGGAGATTGAACAAGAGACCTCATACCTCTCCAAAATTCCACATTCTGTAATTCTCTCCATATGCACATTGTAATAAGCCAAAGGTCGGGACATTTCCAGAGTGGAATGAGGGCAGGTAATACTAAAAATGTTAAGAACAGCTAGTGGTTATTAAGCCTTCATTTTTATAAGACAAGTGATGTGCTAAGCACATCACATGCCTCTCTCTCCATCTTCACAGCACCCCTCAAAGGTTAGTAATTTCCTCTATCGCTCAGACTCATGCAACCAGAAACAGGCAGGGCCAGGAATCATACCCAGGCTGTCTGGTTGTAGGTGGTTGGTTCACCCCTGTTCAGTGTACCTCATCTTAAAGGGGACTGGGAGAATTAGGTGCTTCAATAGTAATGTTAAGTGAGCTCTATGAATATCTAGTATATCCCTAAGTCTGAGAAAATATCACCTTCCCTGAATTATTGATGGGCTCCTAACTACTCACCATAACTTCTCCAATCAATTTTCTAGCTCAACCCCTAAGATACTTCTGCTATGTTATCCTCTATCTGAATATCTTCCAGTGATGTCATACTGTCATTAGGGCAAAGTTCAAACAACCCCTGAACTGATTTCCAAGGCCCCACTAGTGGGGGAAGGGCCTGCCCTGCCCCTTCCCCTTCCTCCTCTTCTGACAGTGCCCCCTTTGAACTGGGCTATGCACAAGTCCCAGATGCTTTCGGCTTCCATCACTGCACACATGAATCTGCTGCCTCCTTTTCCATGTTCTTCCCAACCCTAGGGTTCACCTAGCTAACCAGTATACCTCCATTAGATTTGAGTTTACACGTCTCCTCCTGCTAGAAGCTCCATTGATCTCCTTCTGGACTGTGACAGGTGTGCCTCCAACATGTTCCCATTATACCATTATACCAAACTTTGATCAACGTAACTGTCGGTCATTGGTCTGTCTCTCCCACAGGTCTGGTGGAGGCTACATATTGTTTATCACCATATCTCCGGTAATGAGCGTAACAATTATGCATGTTGTAGGCTGTCATTAAATGTTTATTGACTTAGACAAGAAAAACAAATGGTTTTCAACATAAAAACGTAAGCTCAAATTCACTCATTTTAAAAGAAATTCGATTTTAAACTATAATAAGATGTCATTTTTTAGAATAAAAGGTTTGAAAATAGATGGTATTGATGACGGATTAGGAAATCCGACACTTTTTCAAATTATTGGTGTAGCCTGATGTAGTCTCCTTGATGGGAAATTTGCCAATATCTATCAATACTTGGAATGTACATCCTAATTAACCTAGGAATTCCACTTCTAGGAATTTGTCCTCTGATATTCTTATAGGTGTACACCAAGAATTTAAGACTGAAACAACCTAAATGTTTGTTAAAATAGGACTAATTACCTAAATTATTATTCATCCAAACAATGGAATTCTCTGCAGCCATTAAGAGGAATAAGGCAAAATGATATTTAATAATATAAACAATCTCAAAAATGTTAACTAAAAAAGAAAAACAGAGCGGAATTTGAGAAACAAAACCGGATCATAGGGGAAAGGAGGGAAAAATAAAATAAGACGAAATCAGAGAGGGAGGCAAACTGTAGGAGACTCTTAACTCTAGGAAACAAACTGAGGGTTGTTAGAGGAGAGATGGGTGGGGGGATGGGTAAGTAACCCATTGAGGAAGGCACAGGGTGTAATGGGCACTTATATACAACTAAAGAATTACTGAACTCTACATTTGAAATTAATGGTATGGTATATGTTAGCTAATTGGATTTAAATAAAATAAGTTTAAAAAAGAAAAAAAAAAAAGAAAAACAGAGTTCAGCATATTTAGTACACTATCCTTTACCGGAAAAAAGAGGATAGTTATAGGTTGTATAAGAAAGCAGTGACAATCGGGCAGAGTAGAATGGTCCTAGTAGAAACTTGAGTTTTTATCTAATTAAATCAATAAATACTGACAGGAGACAGAATGTCTTCCAGGCTAACAGGAAAACCAGCCCCACCAATAAGCTGTATATGTGCATGTTTAAAGAGTGTATCAGCAAAGATGGGCTGCTAGGGGCACCTGGGTGGCTCAGTGGATTAAGCCTCTGCCTTGGGATCAGGTTATGATCTCAGGGTCTCCGGATCGGGCTCTCTGCTCAGCGGGGAGCCTGCTTCCCTCTCTCTCTGCCTGCCTCTCTGTCTACTTGTGATCTCTCTCTCTGTCAAATAAACAAATAAAATCTTAAAAAAAAAAAAAAAGTTGGGCTGCTAAACAAAGGAAAATACGGTTAAGAAAATGGTCATTGAACACACGCCCTGATTAATAGAGAGAAAGGGAGAAACCCTACACCCAAGCAGTACAAATAATACCAACATAAAACAAATGAATTCTTTTTGTAGGTGGACTTCTAAGAAGTTACCTAAAATAACAATTATTCTTTTTAGACAGTGTATTTTCCTTTTTGTTTTTCAGTGGTCACTAGGCAACCTTGTAATTACTCATTCAACTTCTTGGTTACCTTGACTCTAAAGTGGAATCCTTGGAAATGGGTCAAAAGCATTCTAATCACAGGAAAGGCAATTGTCATTCAGGATTAAAAATGCATCTTATGTGATTTTGCATAACATAAGTACACAAACAAGAGAACAAGCTTCTCTGGGTATGTTGAAACATCTTGCTTCAAATCCCAGACCTCACCTCTCATCACTGGACCCAAAGCTATGGCCCATTAGGTGGGCTTCTTACCTCATCTTCCTATGATCAGTTCCTCTTCATTCTAAAATGGGTATCATCCCTGTCCTAAAAACCAGCTAGAATCTCCAAAATCTAGCCTGGCCAAAAAGTCTTCAAGCATGGAATTTTAAAGAAAGAACAAATTTTTTTTTGGAGTTTAAAAAAGACTGCAAGACCGGTAATAAAGAGAACATTATAGCTGACATTAAAAAAAAAAAAGTTTGTAGTGATCGGGAATTTTCAGGAAATAACACAGAATCATGTTTTTTTTTTTTAAAGCAAGTAACACACATAAACCACACACACACACACACACACACACACACACACACACACACACACACAGGCAAGAGCTCAGTGATGTATAGACCAAACTAAAGGTAATAGCACTTTTGAAAATACTATCACCAAAGGGGAAAAGCTGAGTTAAGCTGATGTGTGCAGGCTATTCCTGCCTTCCAATCTTTACACTTGCTACTTGTGCTGCCTGGAATGTTCTAACTCTGAGTTTCCTAAACTTTCTCAGTTCACAGAACCCTTAGTGGCTCAGTAATTAATTTTCCTGGAAATCCCAGGCCAAAGAAAGAACCTCACATTTCTGTTGACTAGGTAGTTAGGTGCTAATAATTTAAGAAGCATTTATGCCTTAACAACTTTAATAGCTGTTTTTTTTTTAAAGATTTTATTTATTTCAGAGATCACAAGTAGGCAGAGAGGCAGGCAGAGAGAGAGAGGAGGAAGCAGGCTCCCTGCAGAGCAGAGAGCCCGGATGCAATGCTGGGCTGGATCCCAGGACCCTGGGATCATGACCCCAACTGAAGGCAGAGGCTTTAACCCACTGAGCCACCCAGGCATCTTTAATAGCTGTTTTTTTAAAGAAACAGTACACATAAATTTATAGGAAATCATGATATTTGTATCTTGTTCTTAAATAGCCACAGTTACTTATCAATGGGATAGTACTTATCAATGGGCACAACTTCTCAAACCTTGGAATCCCATTAGATACCACCACTCTCATTTCCTGTACATGGTCTTGCTTTTTATCAGAGCAAGCACTGAAAACCCAGCTTTGCCAAG